AACTGAAATATTTGCCTACCTGAAATTTCAGGTATAGCTTATTTGGTTTGGTCTTACTTATACAGGAAAGCAGAGAATAGACTTCACAAACATTAATTACTGCAAAGGATGCATGCAAGATTGATAGATGATAAATGTGGAAAAAATGATACCATATTTGTGAAAGCCACATTAATTCAGGGAAATGATTATGCAGATCTGTTCCTTATTGCATGAAACAACGACAGGATATATAACTTTAAAATTTTTCTCTTCATGGTTTGATATGGATCGGTGACGCCAATTCCTTCAGCTGCCCTGTAACTAACCACCTGATTCAAAGCTGTGGCAGCTGCCTTTGGGAGATAAAATACTGGATCCACTCCTCTCCCACCTCACCAGCCATGAGATACCCAGTGAATTCAGAATGTGCTGCAGGTCTTACCATGTCCTATCTAATCACTGTCGTATGTCAATGCCTGTTCTGTTTTTCGGACCCAGCTTTTAACCAAAGTATTTCATATCCCAGATACTAAAGGTTGTACTTTGTTGTATCTCTAACACATCTGTATTATGGAGGAGTCGCAGGACAGTTGAACGCTCCCTGACATGCTCATAGCGTGAAGCTCACACTAAAGGAAAACATTACAGAGAACTGTTTACTGTCCAGATGGATCAAGTGCTACTAACTAATAGTACTGCAAAGTTTGCCAGACAAAGCAAAGACCCAGGAAAACATTAATATTCCTCAGGGTTATACTAAAAAAACAATAAAATTCAGCCCAAATATTACTGATAGGGATTCAAAGAAGTTCTTTGTTTCATAGGGCTTAATGTTTATTTTGATTTGAATCGTAGACAAACTAATATCATTTTCTTGAAATATCCATACTTCTATCCATGGGCCCTGGGGGTCTGGGGCCAAGCAGAACAGGCTGCAAGGAAAGGGGCACCCTGCAATGGGCACACGCACACACACACACACACACACACACACACACAGGTTTGTAATTAAGTCTTGGTAGAGACTCTCCATTTATTTCCATGGGGAAAACTCTAATCCCAACATGACAACCTTAATGCCTACCCAGGCCTAACCTTACCCACAAGTAACCAAACAAAAAAGACTTTTGCCATTTTTAGTTTTTCGATTGCATTCACAGATCTTTGTGGGGACCTGAAAATGCTCCCCAAAATGTCAAAATAACAGGTTTTTATGACATCGTGGGGGAATTTGGTCCCCACAATATAATATAAACATAATTTACACACACATACACACTTGATATTTATATTCTCTTTTCTCTACATTTGATTCAGATACTGCTCATTTTATATTAATATTGCTTATTTGGTATAAATTTATATATTGTCCACTCAGACACAGTGAAAATGTATCTTTTATCAGGAAAGCATGGTATTTTCAAGCACTTAAACTGTTAAATTAATGACATTGCAATTTCAGTATCCAGATTGTTAAATCTCATAATCTTTCAGTATCAGAAGTAAATTCAGAATTAAAGTAAAGTAAGGTAAGATATACTTTATTGTCCCGAAGGAAGCCACTGCATCACACAACACACTTGTATATGAAGTCATAATTCACAAGCATGCAAACACATAGATCATACATTCAAACTCATACATAAACGTGCCTAATTTCACGTTAAGTGCAGTGCCACCTTCATCTTTTAAACACAATTAAACAGAATCAAACTCAAATATTAGAAAGCTAATATCTATAGATATATCTCAAATTAACCTACTGATACTAAGGTCACATTTTTATTTTCAGGTTAATCTTGAATATGATGATGCAATGACTGTATAGGATAAAAAAGCTCTGGAACATAATATGACACATAGCTATTCTAGTTTCTGTGGTTAGAGTCTGTCTATGCAATATAGCAAACTTGAACAAGTATAAATTCCTTCACTCTCTCTATAATGGCCTTCCCCATTTTTCCTTTTCCCTATCATCTCCTTATAATCTAAATCTGTTCTAAATGTTGACAGACACAATCCCCACTTAGCACACTGCTTCCCCCTCCAAAGTGACTTTTGAGGGTTGTCCTGAACTCCGGGTGTCCCCTCTTCTTCTGTGAACAGGATGTGCTCTCAGATGAATCCCCCGTCCCACGTTAAGTGCTGCCCCCCTCTTTGAAGCACACCATGTAGACTACCCGACCTGCAGAGCCCTCGTGGGTGGCAGCCCCTGGCACGTTCCAAAGAACCCGTACACTTGCCAGGTCCGCTGCGGGTTTATCGCTGATTTGCAGGCAGTCAAATATGGAATCCAAGGGTCACCGTGTCCTCCTTGGAGAAATTCTTCATTTGCTCTGTACAGAGTTTGCGTGGCCCTGGAGCCCAGTTGCCTGTCAGGAGCAGGAGAAAAATCTTCCATCTCTTAGATAGAACAATCAACATGGTGCTGACACTCTTTGTTCAGTTGTCAGGGCACATGGGGTGATTTATGGCTTTTCAAGTGGATGGCAACTGTTTAGAGAGCAGCGGAAACAGTAGAAGTCAGCCCATACTGAGGTTCAGAGCCGGGGACTTGCGTATAGCAATAAGGAGGACGCAAAAGCAGGACCACAGCTATCATATTGGCAACATTTTTATGAAAGAGATTTGTTCCTTAAGTCTCTGATGTGGATTTCATCTAAAGTGAAAAGATTTACAGAGTAAAACCAATCCCTGGTCATTTTTTGATTTTGATAAAAATATAAGCAATTACAGTATATATAATATAATATACAGTAAAATCCCGTTATAGTGGATTCGCTTATAAGGGAATATCGTCTATAACGGACGAGATTGGCTGGTCCCAGCCGTGCGCCTTTAAGAACATGCAGAAAAAGCATCGGATATAGCGGACTCGCATATAACGTAATTTCGCTTATAACGGACAAACAATTTGGCCCCCAGGGCCGCTTTTAGAACTCTGTAGTTTTGTTCAGCTATAACGGACATGCAGAAAAAGCATCGGATATAGCGGACTTGCATATAACGGAATTTCACTTATAACGGACAAACAATTTGGTCCCCAGGGCCACTTATAATTGTAGTTCTGCTCGGCTATAACGGACATGCAGCTCCGCCTACAAGGCGCGTGGCGTGCCGGTGATATTCAGCGCAGATACGTAGCCGGTTTTATTAATAGCCACACATTTGGTCAGGTAAAGCTGGATTACTACATGTACAATATATTAATATATACCACAAGTGTGTCTACTGGGGTGTGGCATGAGTAAACGGTGTCCTGTAGTTGTATTCTGAGCATACAGCAAACTTTGAACAACTCTGGATATAAAGGACTTTGGATGTAACAGACTATTTTGCCAGGTCCCTTGAAGTCCGTTATAAGTGGATTTTACTGTAATATAATATAATATAATATAATATAATATAATATAATATAATATAATATAATATAATGCATGATGGATTGTTAAAAAATCAGCTGTTGATATTGTGACTCTGGATTTGGCTTATAAATATTTGAAAATGGTTTTACAAGTTTTGAATACTGTGTCAGAATTGACTGGGCATGACTGGATGCAAATGTTATTGTTTGAAGAACATGTGCGGCATTGTAAAATAGTCTATTAATTGGCTTGCAACAAACAACAATGATGAACAATGTTGTACAATGAGACTAACACACTCTGAAATACCTTTAATAAATTTTTGTGCACGTAAACAAAATATTTTTGGACAAATAATGTACTTTTACGAACCAGCAGTAACAATACAGGATGTCAGTATTGGAATACACAGCTAGATTAATGGGCTGGCATGTGCAGAATATTAAAATTCTGGAAATTACTTGGGAATACTGGAAGAGCAATTCAGTGACCAGGTTGAATGCAGTGTGTGTAGCACCTGTGAAAAATGCAACCTGTCACAGAGACAGGAAATTAAAATAATTTAAAGTGCTCAAACAGTGCAATGGCTCCAAAATAAACAGACCTTGGGAAGGTCAGGGGATATCTGCAATGCAGAACTGAAGATAGCGGGTGAAGATTGCCAGTGTGAGTGATTTGTTTGTGAAATAACTGGGCAGTTGGGAACAGCTTTAAGGTTTGAAAGGGGAATAAGTATGCAAACATCTCACGCTTTGATGTTTCGTAGTTAAGTTTTTCATGCAAGTCAACAGAAATACTGCAGTATATAATTTTTGAGTTGCTGTATATGCATGTGCTTCTGAGGATTAACAGATTTGGAGATAGATATAATTTGTAGCAGGATCCAATACTAACACTATAAAATTAACCAACTGAGGGTAAATTTTATCTCAGATGGCTCAAAACTGGCTCAGTGTCAGCTTAGTATGGCAAATATATATGGATCAAAGCCGACTGTTAGCAAGCTCGTACTTTGACATCAGACCTGGCATAGCACTGTAGAGCAAACCTGGGGCCTGTTTCATGAAGCAGGATTTCTTCCTTTGCTACATAACTTGTAAGATTTAAGGTACCTTAGTTTAAATAGGCTTTATCTTAGTTCACTTACATTTCACCCAGACTACCTTAAATCCAACAAGTTATCTGGTTATACATGAAATCCTGTTTTGTGGAACAGGACCATGGTCTTAGAAGTCATGTTCATGAGGCATAGTACCAAAAATATAGCCAATTATGAAGTTGACATTGAAATGTTGAATTCCTCATTCCTGGCTTTATTTGTCACAAATATGTAAATTGTTCAATTTTTATAATTACTTTTTATGTGGGACAATCCAAATTTGATTCAGTATGACTGGCAGGTTTCTCTTTAATATCATGAATGACAATTTAAGTCAAATGTCCCGTCCAACTAAAATCTGCAGATGTCTGAAAAAGTCACGTTTTGGCTTTACGGTTCTTTCTTGAGTGATGCATGTACGGTAGTTCATATGAATGGAACCATAACAATTTGAGATGGGATCTGGACTCGGACATTAGAGACATTTAAGGTACAAACCCAAGCTGGGTTATTTTATTTATTATTTTTATTTTAGAAAAAAACTCAGAAGTGAATTATTTTCTCTTTGTTAGAGCAGTTAAGAACAGGTATAGCCAACCTAATCCCAACAAGCTTATAATTAGCGTTATACTACTTCAAACAGTTGTTAACAAAGGGCATCCCATTGGTCATCCCAGGCCTTTTGCTCTCCATGTCATAGGCTCCTGGTCCCCTCGTGACCTGGATAAGGAAGCATGGAAGATGGATTGATGGGTATTAGTCATAAAGATGTTTTCTGAAATACATTAGAGTATATCTTGGTGGACTTCATAAGGCATTGTAATAAAAAACATATAATATGTAACCTTGACAGACCAGAGTGAATAAACCTCAGCTCCATCCTCTTTGCAACATTTTTAGCAATAATATCCATTGAGGATGTGAAACTGATATCCTTAAAGATAAGGACTGTTTCCTTTATATAGGATTTCACTGGAAGCCAATGCAGAGAGAAAAGTAGAGGACTGATAAGTTCACATATTTTTATTTCGATAAATACCTTCCAGCTGCAATCTGTACCAGCTCCATACATTAAAGCAGGAAGCATTTCACAGCCCATTTACAATAATCTAGAAGTTATGAACAGGACCTTCTAGTATTTTATAGAAATACAATCTCTCAGACTTTGGTGGTATTCTGTAGGTGAAAGAAAGACAATCTAGGCTATGAGCTTTTGTCTCTGAAAGTCTCAAGCTGTGCTGGTTTTGCTCTTCTCTAAAAGCCTCAGGACCTCAGACATCAAGGACAGGAGGTAGACACCTCTGCTCTCAATGCATATCTAGTTAAACAATAGATCAAATACTGTACCTTCCTGCTAATCTACATAGTGCATGCTTTGGACTAAAGTAAGAAACAGTTGATGAAAGCTTGAGGTTAGAGAGCCAGCATTCCTGGAGCAGTTAGGGTTAAGGACCTCGCTCAAGGGCTCAACACTGATACAGTTACTCTGACAGCCATGGGTTTTGAAACCACAAGCATCCACACACCGCCCATAGTATATCACAAAGCATTTGGAAGCTCATAATTTACTTGACATTGCTCTGATGGGTATGTTTACAACCAAAAGGACACTTCTACACAGACCAACAAGATTTTATACTCTGTCCATGACAATATATTGATCTATAGCTCAAGACAATGTAGATAAAATACCAACACCAGAGCAAAGCTCTGCCAAAGTCCCTCACAGAAAGGGAAATTGATCCATAATTTAATACGAGCCTGTAGCAAGACAATTCATTAGGATCCAGATTAGGCTGGGCTTAATTACCATTTATCTGACATGGGAACATACGATATGGAATATTAATTTATAGTAACATAGGCTTGCTAATTGACTGCATTTGAGGGGATTGAGCGAAGAAGCAATATATTCAAAAATAGTAACTAATGTAGCTGATTCATGGGGTGTGACAAGCCAATGAATTGAGACAATAAGTCTCCCAATAACATCAAAATGAGATTCTTTGATTGGCTGCTTTGTGATAACTAGCTCAGCAATTTTACTGACAAGACTTAAGACTGATTTAAGTTTGTTCTTGTTCAATGAGGTTAGTGAAATATTTCATCTAATGGAGGTTCTGTTTCTCCAGGCTGAGAGAATGAAAGAATAGTTCTACTTTCTAACCTAGAGTGAGCCTTCTGTAACTCCTTGTGATGGCTACAGCCACGCAGAGTAAGATCTCAAACGTTCTCTCACCTCCTTAGTTGACTACTTGTATATTTTCTTTAATCAAACTGCTTTATTTAGAATAGCAATGCATAGTTTACAGCTGATTTGCTTTATTCTTTATATTTTATATGCAGTGCACATATTCACATTGTAGGGTTTATATACAGTGTTTGCCTAATTAATCCTTTAATTCTTATAGTTACTTTGTTTGTGGGGGGTGGTCCTCTCCTAGTCGGTATAAAGGTGTGTCTGAGGGTGGAGAACTTAAAATGGAAAAACCCCTGGAGCTGGATTAAACCATGTGCTACCATGGCGAGAGGGAGGAGTATGGATTTAGCTATGTTTTTATGTTTAGTTGTATGTAGTGTTCATTTGGTTTACCCCTTTTGTGTGTTAATTGGTTTGCCCAAACCACTACATATGTTCCCTGGTGTCTCATTACAAGAAGGTCAGTTTGTTGTTTTTTTGACCTCTTTTATAGGCCCTGTTACTAAGGTCTTGAGTTTTGTCAACTGTCTGTATTTTTGGGGGTCAATAAAGCTCTATTTTCTTTAGTAAAACACAAACTGTGTTTGTGGTACCTTACTGTTTGTTCCCTCACACTTCTGTACATGGTTTATATAAACTATATTGGCAAAAGTATTGGGACACCTGCCTTTACACAGACATGAACTTTAATGACATCCCATGCCTAAAACATAGGCTTTGAGTTGGCCCACCCTTTGCAGCTATAACAGCTTCAACTCTTCTGGGAAGGCTGTCCTCATGGTTTATGAGTGTGTTTATGGGGATTTTGACCATTCTTCCAGGAGAGCATTTGTGAGGTCAGGCACTGATATTCAATGAGAAGGCCTGGCTCGCAGTCTCCGCTTTAATTCATCCCAAAGGTGTTCTATCGTGTTGAAGTCAGGGCTCTGTGCAGGCCAGTCAAGTTCCTCCACACCAGACTCGCTCATCCATGTCCTTATGGACCTTCTTTGTGCACTGGTGCGCAGTCATATTGGACCAGGAAGGAGCCATCCCCAAACTGTTCCCACAAAGTTGGGAGCATGAAATTGTTCAAAATGGCCTTGAATGCTGCAGCATTAAGAGTTCCTTTCACTGGAACTAAGGGGCCAAGCCCAACCCCTGAAAAACAACCCACACCATAATCCCCCCTCCACTAAACTTTACACCTGGAACCAGAGGTCGACCGATATGGGTTTTTCAATAGCTGATGCCGATATTTAGAAGTCAGGGTCAGCCGATGGCCAATATATGCTGCCGATTTTTTTTTGGCCGATAATTGGACATTTTCTCCAGTCAAAATGTGGCCAAAAGATATTGATTTTGTGTACATTGAATAGGGATGCCCTAGTTAAAGACAATATCTAGAGTACGACTACAAAAGTATTAGAGAAAATCATGACAGTTTGCCAGTGCAGAACAAGAGTATGAAAGAAACCTGTAAACAGACCTTTCTGTTGCTTTAGATCTGAGCAATGCACAACTCAAGCATCACAAGCAAGTTGGAGTAACATTTCAGTCATGGTCCGAATTTTAAGTGGAACCTGGGTTCTGCGGGATTTTCATGGAGAGGGTGGATAAGTATCAGCTATTCATTATAGATAAAGCAAAAGAAGAAGTAGGAACTGAACAGCAGTTAAATATATTCAGTGGTGGAGATTTCAGGTCCAGAGAGTACAAATCCAAACCATGATTTTGTTTCAACCAACCAGTTGAGTACTCTGTGACTGTGACTCTTTATACTCAACTGGTTGGTTGAAACAAAATCTTGGTCTGGATTTGTACTCTCTGGACCTGAAATCTCCACCTCTGAATATATTCCATTTGCTTTGTCTAGTTCATTATCTACTGTCAGGTTTCCTGATGCAGTAATTAAGGTAACAATAGTCCTTAAATGATTTTCTAATCACTCCATGGTATTTTCATGTCATTTGAAAAATAACATATGCAAAGAACTATTCATTGTGACGACAGGGGCGTAACACCCACCGTACCTGAAGTTGAGCTGAGATTTGAGAAACTCAGTATCATGAGCTGATAGGTATGGTTACTCATATTACCTGATAATTCTCAATTTCTGTCCTATTTGAAGCTGACCAGAATATACATTATTTACTAAGGGTCCTAGAAAGCTACGCAAGTGCCGTTATAATGTAAGAATCTGAAACTTGGATTGTTAATTTAATTTTGTTTTTTTTTAAATACTAAACTGTCAGACATTATTATCTTTTATGTGTTCTTATAATTGCAAAAGTGCATCCTTGAAACAGAAGAAATAGCTTGCTTGATTCCACATACCTGCAAATCATCTTAATTATCTGTCTGAGTAGACCATTCTAAATGAAAATATAACAGTAAATAACAACAACAGTATGGTTCCTGGTACATGAAAGTTTTTCTTAGAAAAGCTTTTGAAAAATATGTTTCTTGTAATAGCATGCATTGCTGGAGTAGCATGACACAACTCCAGTCTGTCATTGTACTGCTAAATTACACAATTAAATTGTGGTCTGAAGTGTGGTCTGAAGTGGTCCTCATGCTGTTTAATGAACCCATTAAAGTCTAGATTGCCTCTTTTAAACTTTGTTTTCCTCATGAGCAAAGACGTATGGTTCCATCTTAGGTGAAGTAAGTTCTATGCTCTTTCCAGAGTTCTGCATTTCAAACCTTTGTGAAGTACAGTCAGACCATCCGGTGGGTAGGAGGGCATGATTTCCTCCTCTGTACTTAAATGCAATACCCACACACAATTACAGGCTCGTATTGATTTAAGGTACTCATTCACTTCACAATGAAAAGTGGTGTGGCAAAAAAAAAAAATCCCTTTTCTGATTATCCTTTTGTTCCCAAGAAACATGGAATTTTAATGAAATCATTACCTAGGCGCTTGACGCTGAAAGCCAAGCAGGAGGCTGAGGGTGTGGGGTGTTACATCTTCGCTATGAACTTGCGCAGGCCTTGATGGGAGCGATCAGTTACCCGGGGCCTGAAAAGGACCATCTCATCAGTCACTGGAAATCACTTACAGGTGCTGTCGAGATGGCAGATAACTTACAGCTGATGTATATTAGCAATAAACACCGCATTCCACAACTAAAAGGGTAAAAACTGTATGCATATATGTGGTTGTAGGACCTATATTAATCATCTTGGGAAAAATCTGCCTTGGACTTTTTAACATTGTTGCTGAATTACAACATAACATTTTTCACAATACATTTTTCTAGAGGCAGTCTGATATTTATTTTTAAGATATTGGATAAAGACTTTATAGTTGAAGGTGATTTGATCCGGAATTAAATCCCTGCTTTCCCTGTGCCTCTCAAGGATACCCACTGCACTGCAGGATTATCAGGCACTCATGCACTGCAATACAGCTTTTCCATGAGGGAAAGTTGCTAAAGTTATAAAGCTGGCCAGAGATTCACTTTTCAGATTATCCTGCGATAGATAAATCTCTGGCCAGCTTCATAACATTTGCAGATTAAAGATTTTCCTCTTGGATTTGATGCATTTTGTCAGCTTTGCCGACAGGCGTTCCAGTCCCTCCTGTCAAAAAGCACCCCCAAACAGCAGCTGGCCTCACAGCAGGGGTGGTGCGGCATGGGCAATATGCTGCCTTGGCTTTGGGCAAAATAAAGCACCCTGCTTTTAGGCTAATGCATTAATGCTTTTGTTCCATCATACTGTACCATTTAACTCTTACTAAATAATTCCACATTCTGCTATATTCTCCAAATTTCAACCAAGACAATTGTAAGATAAATGCATCATGTGTTACTCACCTCTTAAATGCAGTCAGGCCTTCCAGTTCCTATACTTATACAGAATATTCATATACTTATGGAGGGATTTGTCTTGAAAATAGTTTTCCTATCAAAATACTTCGCACTACATTGCACAAAAAAAAGCTTGCCGTGCTTCAAAGTCCATCATATGGTATAGTGGCTTCTAAGTATTTCCTTCTTTCGGGGTTATTACTTAAAGATCCTTGTGTCTGAAATCCATCCATCCTGAACATAGTAAAAGAATTCTGTAAAGCAACGGAACTATACCAACATTGTTATGGAAATCATTAATAATAGAGCGAAAGGTATTGCATTCTACTATTAAATGAATTTATAGATTTAAGCCCATCAGTGGCTATGCTGGCAGGTAGAGGACATAGTTCATTTTGCTCCCCAAGGGTCATAATTTCTTATGCTTGGAGACAGACAGTTTGAAAAACAAACGGAGTTCAAGGACAAAAGTTTTAAAAACTCTGTGGCTTTTCCAAAACCACCATTCAATGTCACACCCTTTATAATGTGTTTTTCAAGCAGTTTTTCAAGAAAAAAAACCTTCTTTTGGACAAAAGCAATAAAAGTGTGTAAATAAACTTAGGTTTATTTACAACTGCAAATGTGTGGCACAATCAGAGAACTGCTACGCCGACGATACACAGCTTTATGTAAATTCCACAGCTGCAACGCCACTCTCATCATCCCCATCATCCCCGTCTCAACTCACCATCTGTCTGGAGGAGATAAAGGTATGGATGGAACCCAATTTCCATTTTTTTTGGAACTCAACAGCTCCAAAACTGAGGCCATTCTGGTCGGCACTCCTCACCAAATCAAATCATCACCCATAACCAGCATCATCTTCTCTGGCTCCAATATCTCTCTCTCATCAACAGTCACAAATCTTGGCGTAAAAGTGGATCCCCAACTCACCTTTGAATCCCATATCAACCACCTCTGTAAGACCTCCTTCTTCCACCTCCGGAACATTTCCAAACTGCGCCCCATTCTTTCCCTATCTGATGCTGAAAAGCTGGTCCATGCCTTTATCTCCTCTAGACTGGACTACTGTAATGCACTTTTCTTTGGGATTCCTAGCAAGAGCCTGCAGAGGCTGCAGTACATGCAAAACTCTGCAGCTAGGATCCTGATGAGAGTGCGAAAACATGAGCACATCACTCCCATTCTCCACTCACTTCACTGGCTTCCTGTCTCCACCAGGATTGAATTTAAGGTTTTGCTTCTTACACAACAATGCATCCATGGACATGCTTCCCCCCCACCTCAAAGAACTTATCAACCCACAATGCGCAACACGTTCCCTCCGTTCTACGAACTCAAACCTCCTCCACATACCCAGAACCAATCTCTGTGTTGCTGCTCCACGCCTGTGGAATGCCCTCCCTGACGTCCCGAGGGCACCACAACCCACTGACTGTTTCAAAAAGCGTCTTAAGACATTTCTTTTTAACAAAACCTTTGGTTCCCCCACTTAGAGTTTTAAAATTGTTTACTTTTAAATTGTTTATTTAGTCTCTTTTATATTTTTTTTACTTGTAGCCCTTTGAGATCTTATGATATAAAGGGCATTATAAATAAAATGTATTATTATTATTATTATTATTATTAATAAGATAATACTGAGTTTTTTAGACATATACAATAATGCTGTATTTGGCCTCAGACAGACAATCCTTCTGTTATGGAAAAAAGATAGGGTTAAGATGAAATATAGCTGAAGGTCTTTGTTGTTTCCAGACTGTTTGACATCGGCATACGATGCTCCCTCATTAAGACAGATGGCATCATGAACTCTGCCAAATTCCAAGACAAACAACTTCTTCCCAAGTTGTCCACAAAAGGACCTCCTGGCAAAATAATGATCCTGAAATGCATCAAAGTCAACCAAGAAATGCTTGGAAATGGGAAACCAAAAGATCTGAAGGGTGTGTATAAATTCTGAGTGAAGAAATTCAGAAAGGTTCCAGGAGAGTAAAACACCACAGAAATAGCTTCTTGGTGTAGTTTTAGCTAAGAAAGTGACAAAAATATAAATAAAAAGGATATTACAGTAATTAATAAATAATACTCAATACAATATTTTATATATTTTCCAATATATCATAATTTATACTTTAATACCTGAGCATTTTCCACAGGCAAACACCATTTAAAAACAATAAAAAGTAGTGCTGTCAAACGATTAAAATTTTTCATCAGATTAATCACAGGGTTGCTGTGGATTAATTTCGATTAATCACGATTAAATATAATTCATTTTTAATCTATATTAATCACATTTCATTTTGCATGAGCAAACAGACTCAAGAAAAAAGGGAATATATATGCACTTAACATGTTTATTGAACATCTTGAATACGATGCAATCCATCTCCCACAGAAGTGCAATATACCATGGACCCATATCAAAAACCAAGATTTTCTGGTTAGCCGGACAACTTGGCGGATTTAAGGTACCTCAGTTTAAATGGTCTTTATCTTCGTTCACTTACAATTAGCCCGAACTACCGTACATCCGACAAATAATCTGACTAATCATGAAATCTGATTCTAACCCAGTTAATTGCCATTGTTAGCAATATCAGTTGATAACACATTACGCGCGGTGCTTTACGTATAAAACTCCGTAGCAACACGTCCACAGATAAGTTGGACGGTATGGTGTGTGCGACCGATTTAATGAGCCACAAATGAGAAGTAGTGCTTAAACAGTATAAAACTACAACTTTCCCTTCTGTTGATAAAAGGCACAGCCATCTTGGATCCTCTGTGCTGCTCCGAGACATTTCTCGGATCTCCGAGAAACAGGAGCGCGCATGTCGTCACTTCCGGCTTCAAAACTCGGAATCCGACTCGGAATACAAGTTCCCAGGGCAAATGTAACCCACCAAAACTGCCCGAAATGGGTTGACAAAGACATTTCTGGGATTTTGAGTCATTCTGCGCTGCAGATGGGTTAATTGCGTTAAATTTTTTTATCAGATTAATCATGATAATGGATTAATCCGCGTTAACCCGTTAATTTTGACAGCCCTAATAAAAAGTTTTAGAAAAGTATAGAAGCAGATAGCAGACTTGCATTTGTTCTTGGGTCTGTTGTAACGTTCAAAAAAACATCAGAAACTTAAAATAGCTAAATAAAACTTTAATAACTCTAGGTGCAAATGTACATAAATTGCACTGCCACAATTTGTCTGAAACACAAAAAACCACCTCTCTTTTTGTACATCGTTTTTTTCTACATCAATATTCAGCAAATATGTCACTTTTAACATACAAAAGTGCTTCTATGAGATTATAAAACACATTACTTTTAATCTTCGTACACCAGCAGGAAAGAGAGAAATTTTCTCTTATTGGAATATATTACTAGTTGTTTCTCTCATTTCAAAACAGCAGGAGTGAAGATGGAGAATAAAAAAATGCAGTAAAACAGTGATAGGATATGTGAAGGAGCCAGTCATTTCCACTCAATTCATGCATGCAGCAAGATCAGGTGCTTAATCACGACAGGTTAAATAACGTCTCACAATTGCATCATTCTGAAATACAACCAAAACTGACAAGATTTGATATTTATGGTAGAAAGCATGAATCGATGTTTCCTGGATTTGTGAAGAAGCCCATTTTTAGGAAGAGGAGAAGGGCTGTACCAACCACAGTTACACTGCTGTATTTGCATTTTTGCCTGTTACATTCAGTTCATCCTGCTGCAATTGTAGTAGCTTGTCTATATGGTGGAATCTAAGTATGCAATGTAGATCGGGTAAATGTAAATATAATGTAAATGTACATAGAGTTTAGAGTAGAATGCATGCATTTTATGTCACACATTCCAGCATGAAAATTTCAACATCATGAACAGAAGGATGTTAACGCATGTAATGCAGATGTACGATATGCTAACAGGGTAGATGTGAATGTTAATGAGAAGGGGTTTCAATAAAAGGAGTCATTAAATCTAGTAAATTAGAAATATCTCTGTACATATGAGCTAATCTGACAGTGTGATGGAAGAGACAACCAGGGAATTAAACGCCACAGTGATTTTTGATTATGCCAGTGATTATGCAGTCAGCTTCTCACAAAGGACGTCTCCTTCCTCAAAGGAAAACACTGACATCACAACGTCATGTCACACGCTCATCACATGACAGCGAGGTTCTGCAATCCACATCACGCCAGGGCCTCACCAGAAACTCCATAGAAAATGAACTGCCTGGTGTAACGTAGACCTGTCACCTTTTGTCCAGTGCAGATAAAGTGCTACTGCATAGCCAGTCTCGCCTCAAGAGCTTAGTGACGCATATTTAACTAATGACCTTCAGATTCAGGTGTCTAGAGCTCAAATAAGTTTGCTTGAAATTGTATAAAGCATATCTATACAGGGTGACACTTTTAATGTTTCATCAGGAAGAAGTGTTCACTTTCCCAGTGTCCAACAAGGGTCTAAGAAGAGAGAGCAGATATTTTGTGCTTTTTTTCCTTTATCGATAATGTCTAAGCTACTACTCTGCAGTAGAAAGCTATCTGCCATTCAAGATATGCACACACAGGCTTGTATTCATATCTTTTTGGGCACTCTCCATTCATTTCTATAAGCAAAACGCTAATCCCAACTATGACGACCTTAACCCCTGCCCAGCCCTAACCTTAACCATAAGTAACCAAACAAAATGCAAAAAAGTGCAAGACTTTTGGCATTTTTAGTTTTGTGATTGCATTCACAGATCTTTGTGGGGACCTGAAAAATGGTCCCCACAACATAAAAATAACAGGTTTTTATCACATTATGGGGACCAAAGGTATGTACATGTCCACACACACACACACACACACACACACACGTTTGTATTCAAATCTTTGTGGGGACTGTCCATTCATTTCTATGGACCTTAACCCTCACACCAAGTCCTAACCTTTACCATAAGTAACCAAACAAAATAAAGACCTTTGTCAATTTTAGTTCTTTGACAGCAGACATTGATTTTTATAAAACTTAGTTTCCCCTTATGGCAAAAATTGGTCCCACACACACACACACACACACACGTAAGGTAAACATATCCTTATGGGGACCGCTCATTCATTTCAATGGGAAAAATGCTAACGCTAACTATGACAACCTTAACCCCTACCCTGCCCTAACCATAAGTAGCCAAACAAAATATGGGACTTTTGGTGGAGACCTGAAAAATGGGCCCCATATTGTCAAAATAACAGGTTTTTATGACATCATGGGGGAATTTGGTCCCCACAATGTAATATAAACATAATTTACACACACATACACACTTGATATTTATATTCTATTTTCTCTACATTTGATACAGAGACTGCTCATTTTACAATATTAATATTGCTTATTCAGTATAAATATGTATTGGTCCCCACAATGCAATATAAACATAATCCCCACGACACACACACAGAGCATTTATACTGGAGAGAACAAAGTTTTCCTTTGACCTAAGAGAGCCATCATGCAAATATGGTAAAACAAAATGAGCTGCAGAGGGATGAAACTGGGACAATCACTGTTAGACTTTTTTTACAATAGTACCATAATATGCATTCTGCATTCAGAATTAAACACAGGGAACATTAACTGTGCAAAAAAGAA